TTTGAAACCAGAGAGAGAGAGAGAGAGAGAGAGAGAGAGAGAGAGAGAGAGAGAGAGAGAGCGAGCCTGTGCTGTGTGCCTGACTTTTGCCTCGAGAAACACAGCTCATGGCGCTGGACTCGAGAGCCCTGACGATTGACCAGGGATTTTATTTATGCCCGGCTTATTTCTATCCTCAATCAAACCCTCTCAGAGGGTTATGGGATATGTTAAGGAACTCTTTTATTTAAAATACTGGCAAGCATTTAGCAGTTGCTGTTGAGATCTGGTTTTGTCTGGGAAAGCAGGACGAGGAAGGACATGAAGTCTGACTGGACATCGCACATGGCTTCTGTTGTTGGGCAGAAGGGGCATGTATCTGCATTTTACCCTGAAGGGGCATGTGTCTGCATTTTACCCAGGCCAGGTATACTTTTTACATGAAGGCTTTTTTTTAAAAAATTTTTTAAAAACACTGTAACATTGCCTCATGTTCAACTTACAGATATCCCTGGTCCACCTTTAGATTTACAAATGATGATACTGATTCATAAATTATCTCTGGATATTCTTGGTCATTTCAGAGGTCAGACAATGTAAGGGGCAAGAGCTTTCTAAAGCTTGGAGCATGGAGTTCCTTCCATGTGTACCTTCCTGTTCTCCGGAGGACGCAAGGCAGGTTTTAATACTTAGAGCATGTGTGTGTTGCACACCCGTCTTCCCTCTTCCGTGGAGGGCACCACAGCACGCAGCAGCACGTGTGTTTCTGAGCTGGTTTTGTGCTGACCACATCACAGTGACTTAAATCAGGAACAACAAGGACTTCTTGCCTTGCACTTAGTATTTCAGACTTAATTTTCATACGGGCAGGACTGCTGTATGAGTCCAGGGTGCTCTGTTTTCCTGTCCAACTACCTGAAGGAGCTTTTCTCTTTCAGTATTTGTCTTTCTTCTTAGGAACCCAGACAGGGTTTTATTGCTAAGCACCAGGGCTAAGCTTCTGTAACACGGGTATATATATATTCTCCTGTATCTTAATACTTCTCTATTTCCTTCAGGCCGTGCTGGATTGACGGCTATCTCATTACTTCCCGCATATCTCCTGCCCACTCTTGCTCACGATTTGTCCGTTCCCTACTCAAAGCGATGCTTTTCCTTGCTGTCTATAACTCACAGAGCATCCTCTACTATAACAGTCTTTATTTTGACCAGAGTTAATCTTCCATCCCTTTCAGAGTCTGCATTGTGCACGGCTTGTCACGTCGTTTCTTCCTTTCTGCTCTGCTCTGTGCTGTCTCTCCTGGACCTGGCTAACTTCTAATTTGATACATGCTCCTCGTAGTTAGAGCTTCCGCACATTTTACTACAATCGTCTCCTTAAGGCACTCCTCCATCTGTATCTCTAAGTCCACTCTTAAACCTGTGTGCTTTCATCTTAAGGAAATTCAGAAGAGCCTGTAGCTCAGGAAGCTCTACCCCAAGGCCTGTGGATGTAGAAGCTCAGGCAGAGGGCATCAGGACTCATCTGTCTGAGTCCAGATTCAGACACTATTTTGAAGCACGAGGCTTGCGATCTTCAGAGAAAATGGTGTTTATGAGCCCTGCTCAGGCCCCGTGTGGGGAGCAAATGAGAGCAAACAAGAAAGTCCTTTCTCCTGCAATCAGAGAAGACTGAAAACCGAGCTGTGTCGTGCTCATGTTCTCCCATAAGGGTTTCCATCCTCTGGGAGTCTTCTACCACAGTCATAAAGACTGAATCCAGGGAAGACAACCACAGTCCCATGAGCCCCCAGGTCTGAAATATTTGTGAATTAGATTAGGTTAAATGAGATGCTCGTTTGTTCACTTAGCACTAGTTTATGGGCTACAGGTCTGAGCATTTAATACTCTGCTGGCCCAGGTGTTGGTCCTCTGTGCCTATCTGACACTTGGCCATGCTCGTTGAGTTTGGCTCTTCACGTTCCGCCCTTCCACCTCCCATTCATTGCCTCCCATCCCCCCCGCTGTGTCCCATTTCTCTTTCCTCTGTGTCAGCTTCACTTATTCTTGTGAGTAAGAGTTCATGAACCGTGTACATAGGAAGGGACATACAGGCTGAGATGCTCGGGGCCTGTCTGGAGCCCAGAGCCTGCATTTATCATCATTCACATGACTGTGAATGTTGCTGACGATGAACGCTGCTGATGGTGAATGCAGCATTTTTAAAATTAATTAGTTAATTAATCAATTAATTTTTTTGCCTAGCCTGCGATTATAAACATGCACTAAATCAACAGGGAAGTGAATGAACGAGTGGATAATGTGTCTCATAGTTAACTTAAGTATGAGCAGAACTCAGTTTTTTTCCCTTCAGTCATATTTATCTTGGGTCGTTTCCTTCTCCCCACTGCTGGTAATCATGTATACCTCCAGCCCACAAATGTTAAATATAAACATAGGTATTAACTGGACATTGAAAAAGCCTATTTTATCTGGAGTTAATGAAGTGCTTTTTGCATGCCGTTTACTATTATAACAAACAGGTACGGTTTCCTTGTGTATCCCGAAGGGCCACGCGTTCAACGTGACTAAGACACCGGGTAACAGCACAGTCCCAGTCCACGACTTCAGGTACCCCAGTGCTGCCAGTGAATGGCACACAGGAGACAAGGGAGCAGGCCCTGGATGGACTCACGGGACAGTGTGTGTGCACTGTGGTGAAGATAGAAAGTGTCCCATTGCTCTGTCCTCTGCTAAGGGCCTATACTTATGGGAATGCAAATAAATTTATATCGAGAGTATTCCTACAAAGCAGGATGTGAAAAGACCATCCTGACTGAAATTCCACTATCACCTTAGCCCTGTCCACACAGGTGTGCATGCAGCGCTGGTGTGACCTGGCTTGGGACCTCAGTGCTCTAGCAGAACCCAGGGTCCCTTGCTTGCTGAGTCTGCTGATCCAGCCCGCAGTAAGAGTTAGGAAAAGGAAATGGATTTGTTTCCAGTTCTGACGGAGCAGAAGGAGAGACGTTCCAAGCTTCCCCTAAATAATAGCACTGCTATTATTTATAAGACGAAACAAAAGCCAGGAGACACCACCTGTGTCCACTTGACTGAACTGCCCAGAGGCTGTTTTTTTGCAGATTGTTCCTCCCCTCTCACCCCAGCAGGATATTTAACAGAGAAATTCTGGTGTTTCGGGGCTTCTTTTGGCAGGACTTCCCTGCTTGGTTCTGTTTTTTTTTTTTTCCCCTAATAAAAGGCCACACCACTAAAAAGAAAACTAGAAAGGTCCTTCCTCCCCTTGCCCCTCCCCCACCTTCCCTTTTTATTCTTCTCTCATATTTTTTCTTTTGTCTCTGCTATGTACAAGTGATCATTTTAGGGAAAACTGGAATCTTAACCATAATGATGATGGTGGTGATGATGATGAACATCTATCTTAGTTCTGGAATTTTCTTTCCACTGAGCACACTCAGCCAGACTCACAGTCATCACCGGAACGGAAGTCTTCTTAGTCACTAGTGACTAACATCAGAAATCTGTCTTGTCCCTAACTTTACACCTGTCCTTTTCCCAAATTATTTGCTTTGGAAGAGCAATCTTTAATGAATTCAGCGGGACCCTCTGTAGCTCACACAACTCTTCCTTCTTCGAGCGAGCAGATAGCATCCGGTCTTCCCCCTTTGATCGGCATCATTGTCAGAGAACCGGCAACGGAAGCTATGACAGTGTCTAGGATTAGGGATGAGGGCTCTGGTTGGTTTTGTTCTGTTATGTCTTTGTGGCTGAGGGCAGTATTTAGTTTGCTTTTCAATTTCTCCCTGATTCTGAGGGCGAAGAAAGAACTCGGATTTAGTCTGGCTCCACGTGGGAGGGACGGGAGAGAAGAGGGAGGTGCAAATGTCCCAGGGCGGGACTTCTTCTCTACAGACTGGAGAGTTGTGGTTAAATGCTCACCGTTGAGCAAAACAATGGGAAGGATGTGAAGTCAGTTTCAAATGATGACGCGTCCTAGGGTTTCAGACCTGTCTGGAAGTGCACTAAAGAGTGCTCTCTGTAGCAGAGAGTAAAGAGAACAGATTGGTAAAAGGAAGAGACCCATTTGTCAATTACCTAGATTAAGTCTCGGGGCGCGGGGGACAAAACACATCAGTGTTGCTTTAGTTCAAGAGAGGGAGACAGATTCAGCATTTAGTTCACCGAAGACTATAGATGGTGCCTTTCTAGGATGAATTATGAAACCAGAGGCCTTGAACTCTACAAGACAGACAGGATTTCCATATGTCTTGTTATTTTCTAAAGCACTACCTTCCTGTGTTAGTCAGGGTTCTCTAGAGTCACAGAACTTAGGGGTAGTCTCTGAATAGTAAGGGAATTTGTTATTTTGTAATTTGTTTCTGTCGTCCAACCCCCCAACAATGGTCAGTAGCAGCTGTGAATGGAAGTCCAAGGATCTAGCAGTTGCTCTGTCCTACAAGGCAAGCAGATGAAGAAGAGTGAGCCTGCCTTCTTCCAATGCGCTTATGTAGGTCTCCAGCAGAAGGTGTGGCCCAGATTAAAGGTGTGTGTCACCACGCCTGGATCTGGGACTTGCTTTGTCCCAGATGACCTTGAACTCAGATCTTGTCTTACTCACCTGGGATTCCTAGCCACTATGCCTCAAGATCTCCATTCTAAGATCCAGGTCATAAACTTGTGTCTTCCAGCCTCAAGTTCTGGATCACAGGTGAGCTGTTCAATCCTGGATTGTGGCTCATTCCAGATGTAGTCAAGGTGACAACCAGGAATAGCCACTACACTTCCATACAGAGTCCCTTTACTGTGGTTAGATGGACACAATGTGTGTGAAGGTATAAACTTAACAACTCTATTCCTGGTTCGGCGTGCTTCCTTATCTGCAGTTCTGCTTCCTTATCTGCAGTTCCTTCTCAGAAGGACGCCACCAGAAGTTTTCTGAAGCGAGAGTAATGGTCTTGTGCTTTGCATTTCAGGACCAGCGATAAAAGGAAAAACTTGGCCAAACAAAAAGCAGAGGCTCAGAGGAGGCTGTATGGGCAAAACCCAGTAAGAAGGCTTTCGCCAGGTTCCTCCGACTGGGAACAGCAGAGGCACCAGCTGGAGAGGCGGAAAGAAGAGTTGGTATGGGCGCTGGTCTTGGGGTCTTGGTTTATTTTTATTCTGACTTGTGCTGTGGTGTATAGTGAACACATGCTAGGCAAATGCTCTGCCACTGAGCCACACCGCAGCCTAGTGTGGACATTTTAACAACTACATTACAGTTTCAACTGCGTGACTTAGCATAATTTTTATAAAAATCTGCTCACTTTTAGAAAGAGAGACTCCTTCAAGTACGAAAGCAGGTTTCGCAGGAAGAACATGAAAACCGACATATGGGGAATTACAGGTAGACGCTGCTGCCAGGTTGTTTTTGTTGTCATTGTTGTTTTATTTTTCTGAGACCAAAGAGGTGGTGCTTCATTCTAGCCTTTTTTGGCCTATTTTAAGTGCTGTGCCTTCTTCAGTAGAAACAGCTTCTCACTCACTATGTTTCAGGACATGAAGGGGTGTCTCTCTATAGGTTGATGGCTCTAGCTTGCAGGAGCTCCTGTCAGCTGGCCCAGCTTCTGCTCTGCTTAGGGAGGTTTATAACCAACCTTTTCTGTGACTGTCCTTGGTCACTCTGTAGTAGTTTAAGAAAAGCAAAAATCATGTACTTCTAGTACTCTTTCTGGCAGTTTCTGGTGACTGCTGTACTTAACAACTAGACAAAATAAGAAAGTATTTGAAGGGTCTGGGTGGAGATGGGAGAGGGGGGTGTGGAGAGTCTTCACAAAATACCCCTTGAAAGGACAGAAAGGGGCCCCTTAATATTCTTGGAAAGGTGACATTGCCACATGAGGATTTAGCAAAGGGTGGGGGAGGGGCTCAGATTTTCTTACCCTTTCTGGTAGATGTTCTTTCCTGGCATCAATATCTCCATAGCAGCAAGGAGAGGTGAAGATACTTTTCCCATTCTACTTCTGCTCTATTTTCATTTCCTCACCCCAAAAGCTTGTTCAGATGAGTACATGCAACCTGACATGCATAATTCATACATCGAGACCTTCTGCGTTACCCTGGCTCCCAGGACACTTTCTCTCAAAGTTCAGAGTTTCACCAACTTGTCCAAACATCATTCTTTAAACCCTTCAGTAAAACTTCCCTACATAAATGTTTAGTGGTATACCAGATGGATACTTGAGACTCCCCCTTGCTCATCCATGTCTGTTTCTCGCACCTACTTGGGCCAGAGCAGGGAGGGGGCAATGGTTTAACTACTGAATTGTGTTAGATTCTTGTAAGTAAATGGGTTTCTCTGATTTCCCTTTTTTTTCTTTTTTCTTTTTTTTTTGTAGGAGAATTTATCCTCCTGAAGATAAAGCACTGCTTGAGAAGTATGAAGGTTTGCTTGCTGTCGCCTTCCAGACCTTTCTTTCAGGAAGAGCAGCTTCATTCCAGCGAGAACTGAACAATCCTCTGAAAAAGATGCGGGTGAGAGGATGAGTGGAGGTGTAGAGAGAGGGCGAGCCAAGCACTGTGTCCTTAGAGAAAGGGGCGGGCCAAGCCCTGTGTC